TGTAAAGATACCTAAAATCATATTAAAAGTATTGCACTCCTCCTAGGTTCGCATGGCATACTGACGCGGGGCTACCCTGGGATCCTGAGCGATCCCAAATCTGGTGGCTCCCTACTTTACTGCCCTGAACTATCTCCTTCACCCATCGAGGACCCTCAGCATCACTGAACAGATGGGCCAAATCTTTGCGATGATACAGGGGTCAAATTACGATCTCTAAGGTAGTCTCTAACAAAATGGTCCAATGAACCACAAATAAAGTAACTTCTCGTCGCTCGATAGCACTCTCCAAGGTGTCTACGCCCACAAGTTGAGCACGTTAGATGAGATAGTGACTGATCAAATCTGTTGGTGCTCAAACAAAAGGTTGATAATAAGGGTCTCCTACATACGAACCTTCACAGTCTGAACTTTGAGTTACTTCTTTAGACTACCCTGATGGTGGTCTCTCTGAACTCTGGGAGGGCCCTACACCTCTTCACAGATGACTAAGACTGTTTAGATGTTTTTGGAGCCTCCAACTTTGTTCCACTGAGTCACTCACCGACTGAGCCTTTTTGTTCAAAATTTTCTTGACTGTCTTAGCATGACGGGTTAGATCCATAATACATGATAAGGATCGACTGCTAGATGAGTCTGAATTTCTAAGTAAAGACCCTCAGTAAATCTCTTACAATGGTGTGTCTCAGTTGATATAAGCTCCAGGGTATACTCGCTCAGCATGAGAAACTCATTATCGTATTCCAATACGGTCTGATCACCTCAGGTCATGTACAAATACTAGTCACGCAGATCGTTATTGTGCTGATGTATTTATCTTGAAACTCAATCAAAAAATGATCCCAAGTGGACAACTCTGGCTCCATCGCCAACTCTACAGTCTCCCACCAATTAATTGTGCCACCCTTCAAAAGGGAGGTGACGCACTCCAACTTGCCCTCTGGAGTGAGGTATAACTGATGAAGGGTACGGAGTATATCCTGAAGTCATTGATCTGTAGAGATGGGGTCGTCATCCCCAGATCTATATAAATCAATCGTCTTATAACGATAGAGACTTTTGACCGACCGAGACTCTTGAGGTGCCATAGTAGGCTATAATTGGGGTATAGGTGGTAGAGTAGGCATCACAGATGGATTCAGAATGGCTCAAACAATCTACCTAAGAGTCAAGGTCAAATCGTGGAAGAATGTTACCTCATCGACACAACTGTCCGTAGGTGCCTCATGATCCAAATCCGGGGCATACTCATCACCAAAGTCTTCGGCCATGGAGGCGCGACTCTCCTCATGGCCCTTGTGGCTGGGAACATCACTATCGGCTATAATCGAATCCTAAAATTAGAAAAGAAATAGGTCACTATCGTCATTCCATAGTCTTAGGTATTCTTGACACTTTAGGGGCATGTATTCACATAGACACTTACTGAAACTGACAAGCGGGTCCTAGGAACGACTAAACTTTGACGCTCTGATACCACAAATATAACACCCTAATCTGATCTGACCCGAAGATCCATGGATTACGAATGCCATAAGGAACCACCAAAAGGGTCAACCTAAAAATTTATTTTAAAACATTTAATAATAGTAAAACCATTTGTCATAATTTAAACATAATCAAAATCAAGTTTACAAAATAAGGGAGTCTTCCGAATACGTACAAATGCAACAAAATTCTTTAAATAAAACTAGAGTTAGGACTCGATCATACAAATACCCATATAAAATATATGCTCTCTAAAATAGACTCAAGACATACTCTGCAGCAGCAGCTCTAGAATGTACGGATACAATAGGCTCCTTGACGATCCCTCTACTAACATACACACGAAAACACATTCCATACGCTGAGCTCACAAGCTCAGTGCCAAGAATATAACTATGTAATACTACATGCATTCATTACATGAACATGTTGAAATGCAAAGTCATGAAAATACAAAGTACATATCAAACATGAGATAGGCCAAGTGGTACGATCGGAGGAATTTACGTACTCTCGGACAATACACTAGCCTATCAAAATGGAATAGCTTTGGGGTAAGAATCGAAATTTACGTGCATAAAAAATTATAGCCCTCACTCTATTTTGGATCCTCGAGAGGTCAGGGTGAGGTCCATAATTTACATGCATCGAAAGCTCACATCTCGTACCTAATCAAACATAAGGTATGATCCTGAAATCTATGTGCATTGGAATTTGTACTGGCACGACTCAAAATTTACCTGTATCAGATGCGTACCAACAAAAAAATAATTGGATATTCACAAACAAGGACAATTGTCATAATACTAGAGTAACTCGGGTGTCTGAAATGTTTCCCAGGTGTGACACAAGGCAAATCTTATGACATCCTAATTTGTTTGTTTTCTAGGTGAGAAATTAATGATCTTAATTATTTTCACTTGTATTGGATACTTGTAGCTTATATGTACTCAATACACCACGGCCTGAACACCCAAACAAATTAACCAAAATTGCCCAAAAATCTCCATGGGTATCGATATTGGGCTAGCAGTATCGATACTCACCTATTGGTTATCGATGCTCACTTGAGTATCGATAAAATTTGCTTAAATGTTTTGAAAAATACTTGGGCATCAATACCCCTATGGGGTGTACCGATACTTTACCCTGGGTAGCGATACTCCCATGAGTATCGATACCAAAATCAGTTTCAATGTTTTCAAAAATGCCTCAGTATCGATACTGGACCCCGAGTATCGATACTTCTTGAAGGGGTATCAATATTGCCCTTGTAAAATTACTCGATTTTTGCCTTCCATGAATAACGGTATCGGTATTGCTCTTCTAGTACCAACTGATGAACTTGGGTGCTCTGTTTTAAACACGAAATCATGCCCAAAACACACCCATTCACTCCCTTAAGACTAGTAAACGTTTTTGAAGTCTTATTTGGTGTCTTAGAGGTAAAAAGGTGTCATCTTTCATGCATATAATACACAAATACGAATCTTGCCATGAAATCCTTCTAACATGTTTGCATGAACAAAACATACCATTTATGCACATTTAATAAACTACATATGGTATGAACAAGTTAGAATCGTGTTATCCCGTGCTAGCTTGCTGAAAAACGTCCTCACTTCACCCAAGAGTGAGTTTTTCTTTCCCCATTGCCTTAGAGCTCTCACCCTTCTCTTGGACTAATTAGAACAAAGAAAATGAGTTATTAACTCACTTTAAAGCTTAGGAAGGTTTTAAAAACAATGCTACAACTCAAAACCGAAACACCCTTAGCCCTTATATATCTTGAAATACGAGCTAAAGATGTCACATCAATTTTACAAAAACATTCACCGATAAATAATGGTTAAATTTAAATTACAATTAGTTTCATTTATAATTTCCTCACTGGTTTTTATAATTAATCCTACTGTGCTTGCCAATATTGTTTTTGAAATAAATAGTCACCAAAAGCTTATGTCTTACATTTAATTAATTTCTTTTTATATCCCAAACTTGACCTATTTATACATTGTTTTATTTATCATTTATCTTAAGAAAAAATAATTTAATATGTCACTGTTAAATTGCATAACGTTTAATTTTTGTTTCTTTTTATTATCCATCATAAAAAAAAATTAATGCGTTTAGTACCTAAATTATTTCTCTCCAAAACTTAACATTAAATTTTGAACAGTGGTACTAAAATAAAACAAAAACTAAACTTTAGGTATAGTTTTGGAAAAAAAATTGAAAGTTTAGGTACTAAAATGAACAAAAACTGACATTTTAGGTATTAAACACATAATTTACAAAAAAAAATGGGACCACATCGAGTCGGTTGGATTTTATAAAGGGGTGAGATTAGGTCGGATGGGTTGATTGATGGTTTAAAAATTTTAATCCTTTCGAACCCGATGATAATATTGTAATTTCGTCAAATAATTTTATGGATAATTTTTATAATACCCCAACCTCTATTTTTTCAGTTAAGTCCTTATATCGGACATATTTGTAATTTAAAAATTCAGGTCAAATCAGGGTCAGATGAAATATATATATTTTCGAGTCGGATTGATTCAAACGGAGGATATATGTATTTTAGGCCAAAATTTTAGTGGCCTTTATGTCTTAAAATAAAACATTATGAGCCAAAATACTTTAAAATATATATATAATATAAGTCAAAATAACCATTTTAATGAACATTGTCGGGTTAATCTTTGCATTATGCTTATTTAAAATTTGCACCCAATATTCTAATTTTTGCCGTTAACTATTTAGCGATAGAGTGACCAAAATAGGAGAGAGAGTAAAATTTAGTGATAAAAAACCCAACACATTAAATTTAATGAGGAAAATGAAAACTTTTAAAGTTTGATGAGTAAAATATGAGGAAAAATAAAATTTAGAATACTCAAAAAAATTAACTGAACTCGTTTTATTATTTCGATACCGACAGTTAATGATTGAGTATTCAATTTATTTTTAATCGATATTATCAATAATAAAATCGTTACTTTGAAAAATCAATGGGAACAAAAGAACCTTATTTAAACTTAAGTAACCATTTATGTAGTTTATCCTTTTAGAATATGAGTAAAATTCAAACTTTCTATCTACTTCAAGGTCGACCGTTAAATAGGCGAATAAAATGGAGGAGTTAATCTGAACCGTTAAATAAAAGATGAACATCAGTTGAAATCGTAACCAGTTAAAAATGATAAATTATACATTTAGTACATAAATTATCAGTTTTTATTTATTTTAATACCTAATTTTTCATTTTTTTAAAGCATACCTAAAATTTAATTTTTGTTTTATTTAGTATTTCGTTCAAACGTTAACGTTAATTTTTGAAAAAAAATTAAATATTTAGATATTAAAACGAACCAAAATTTATAGTTAAGGTGTTAAACGTGCTAAAATTTTTAAAATATGATATCAAAATGAAATAAAAACTAAACATCAAATATAATTTTAAAAAAATTAAAAAATTAGTTAGATCGATGAAAACCCGGCCTCGGAATCAAAAAGAAAGAAAAAATCCCATCTGCAAACTCAGTCAATGGCTGTTTCCAAACTAGAACTCAGAGCTCTCGGAAACACGGGCCTGAAGCTCAGCGCCGTCGGCTTCGGCGCTTCCCCGCTCGGCAGCGTTTTCGGTCCCGTTTCCGAAAGCGATGCCGTCGCCTCCGTCCGCGAAGCCTTCCGCCTCGGAATCAACTTCTTCGACACCTCCCCGTAATGCCAAAATTATTTAACTTTAACTGATTGGGCCGTTTTGAAAACTTCATATTTTTTGTTTAATTTGATGAATTATATGTATTTTGTGGTTAATTTGAAGGTACTATGGCGCGACATTGTCAGAGAAGATGCTCGGCAAGGGACTCAAAGCTCTTGGAGTTCCTAGAAATGAATATATTGTTTCCACGAAATGTGGGAGATATCGTGAGGGTTTCGATTTCAGTGCGGAGAGAGTAACGAAAAGCATCGATGAAAGCTTGGAGAGGTTGCAGCTTGATTATGTTGATATATGTCAATGCCATGACATCGAATTCGGCTCTCTCGACCAGGTTCTTAATTAAGGAATTCAATGTTTTGATACCATTTTCGCTAGTAGTATACTTGGATCCACAATTTTTGCTAGGAAGAATGTGTTTTGTCTTGCAAGCCTGATATGAAAGGGTTAATTTAGTTCAGTTTGTATGTGGGTAACAGATTGTGAACGAGACAATTCCGGCTCTTCAAAAGCTGAAGGAAGCAGGGAAAATTCGTTTCATCGGTATCACGGGATTGCCATTGGACATTTTTACTTATGTGCTCGATAGGGTTCCACCAGGCACAGTCGATGTGATATTGTCTTACTGCCATTATAGCATCAATGATTCAACACTGGAGGATTTATTGCCTTATTTGAAGACCAAAGGCGTTGGGGTAATCAGTGCATCTCCACTTGCCATGGGACTTCTTACGGAGTTTGGTCCACCGGAGTGGCATCCAGCATCACCCGAACTCAAGGTGAGACTTTTATCTTCCTCCGATAAGATAAGGCCACCTGTTGGATGTAATTGATGTGTAAATAATAGTCTTTAACCTGAAAAAGTTTTTCTCAGAACATTTTTTTGTAACCTAAGGCATTATTCTTGCAAATTATCTGGACTTAGATTATTTGGGACCAACACAAATCTTCAGTTGTAGGACTGTGTACTAAAGAGATTATATATCCGGGTTTGTTCTCCGTTCAGCTCAAACTACAAAACGGTTCATTGTAACGACAACACATCTAATATTAAATACTTCGGAATCATATTTCTCCATGAACTCTTCAATCTATTTAATATGTTATTTCCATAGTCTGTGTGCTTGAATATAAATATTTCATGTCTTTGTAACCTTTTTCCAGTCTGCCTGCGAAGCTGCTGCTGTCTATTGTAAGGAGAAAGGGAAGAATATTTCGAAGTTAGCTATGCAATACAGCTTGTCAAATAAAGATATTTCATCAGTGCTGGTTGGCATGAATTCTGTTAAACAGGTTCTTATCCATCGTTTGACTTGAATATCATCGATTTTGTGCCCGATAATGGAATTTTCTTACTCAATCTTCAAACCTTTAACTGTTAGTAATGCCTGGCTTGTCAATAATTAGGTTGAAGAGAATGTTGCTGCTGCAACAGAACTTGCACTGTTTGGGAAAGATCACGAAACACTAGCCGAAGTCGAAGCAATCCTGAAACCTGTGAAGAATCAGACATGGCCAACCGGAATTCAACGAAGCTGACCAACAACATCCAGCCTTGTTTCTACTATTGTAATGTATATATTCCCCAACATCCGTTATTGAGTCATCGTAACAGGGGCAACCTTTCTATTGCAAGGATACTAGTATTTCGATGACAAACTATTTCCATCCCTGTAGGATGGATGCTGCCAAGGTAAACTTTCTACTGTCTGCATGATGAGTATGATTGAAGCAATAAGTGAGTCTATCTCATTCAATATGTGTAGTATTGTGTTTTGAATGTTCGTCGAGTGTCGTTCAAGCATGTATTACAATTAGCTCGGTGAAAACAATGATTTTACAATGTATTAATAAACACCGTTGGTTACCAGCAACGCAAGTGAAGCTACATTTAACCATTCAACAAAATCCTTAATGTTTTTATTAGATCCTCCGGTTTACCTGATGTTGTTCATGAGAATTTCCATGAGTGCCATGGATGTTGCTTTGTACTTATCGATGCCCACCACCTGTTTGACCTTATTCCTGATCTCGTCCCTCCTAATGATCCCTTTCCCATCTCTTTCCAAACCCAACCCAACCCCCCAATACTCACAAATATAGGATTGGTTGAAGAACTGGTCCGCAAAGTAAGGCCAGCACAAGAACGGGACGCCATTGCTTAAATCTTCAATCGTGGAGTTCCAACCGCAATGGCTTATGAAGCATGCAATGGAGGGATGTGAAATAATCTTTTGTTGATTTGCCCAATCCACCATTTGGCGGCGATTCTCTCTTGAAACCCCTCTGGGAATGCATTGTTCATGTCTGATCGAACCACCCAAATGAATGCTCTGCCTGTGAGTTCAAGCCCGAGAGCGAGCTCTTTGAGGCGGCGTCGAAGATTGTGAAACTGCCAAATGCAACGTAGATGACTGATTGTGGTGCCTGTTGGTTCAGCCATTTCAGGTAACTTGAATCTGAATCATCTGGTTTTGAGTTGTGGAGTCAACAATGGGCCTACGGGTTTGATATTGGGAGATATTGTGAATGCTGCAGGCTCGAGTTGCAAAGCAACCAATCCGTTAACTTGATGGATTTGTTGTTTTTGATCATGAGTTTGAAGACGTTTCTTTGTGCATTGATGTTGCCAATGCAAGCCCACACAGTTTTTTGTGTTCATAGGGGGCATGTCTGGTGATAACTTGATCATCTCACTTTTAACCGGTGTTCCTGCAAAGAAAGTTTCTGCCATTAACAATGGTTGAAAAATTGAACATATAGAGATGAAGGAAACTCACCATCTTGATCAATAACTCCCTCATCGATCAACTTTGGGATGCTAAATCCCAACACCAAGAGTGCATTAGCAGCCGGACAAAAAGCCACTCGTTTGATGCCGTGTTTTTCCGCAATTTCCAGAGCCCAACCTAAGCTCTGATCTGCAATCACACAGTTTATCCTCCTCTCTGATCCATTAATCTCTTCAATAAGCTCCTCTACTTTCGCTGGCATGGTCTGCGATGTTGCTCGAGATATCTTCCCTGGCTGTTTCCTTTCCTCCGCCGAACCGAGCCCATCCGGAACCGAAACCAGGTGAATCCCATCACCTACATCTTCTTTCAATGCCAATATATCCATGACACTTTGATTATTAAACTCCATGTTAACAAATGTGATTTGGAAGCGAGCAAACAGGATGAAAGCTCCATCACTGGGATTACATGGCCTTGTGCTGGGTATGGAATCACCATGACATGTGGGCCTTCCATGATCTTTTTTTGATGCATGAAATCAGTTTCCCATTAGAAATTTATGTTGATGAGATGAGGAAACAGCCATTGTCTTTTCCATATTGTTGTTAGCGAATGGAATCTATACTTATTCATTGTTAGCTTCAAAGTGATTCATTGTTTCAGTGAATTATTGATCTCATTTTGTTTGCATTGACCTGCTGATGATGTTGACCTTTTTGAATTCTTGTTGATTTATATATATCAAGTGCTTTTAGTGAGGGACCTCATTTTATGGTCCTCTATTACTTTAAATCTTATTTAATTTAAGCCTCGTCTCATAATTTATAGGTAATTTGTAATAGGTCCCTAACCTTTTGAATCGCGCTATTTAACCCCTCCCAATATTTGGCTTTGTCCGGTTCAATTACTTATTTCTGATGACATTGAATATTTTACATGGTAAATTATGCATTTAGTACCTAAATTATCAGTTTTAGTCTATATCAGTATCTAAACTTTCAATTTTTTCAAAATCATACTTAAAATTTAATTTTTATAAAAATTGAACTATTAATTTTGATTTGTTTTAGTATTTATACTTCTATTTCTCTCTCTCAAAATTTATCATTAAATTTTGAATGGGGTATTAAAATGAAACAAAAATTGAACTTTAAGTATGATTTTGAAAAGAAAAAAAAAGTTTAGAAACTAAAATGAATCAAAATTGATAGTTTTGATACCAGATGCACAATTTACCCTAGTTTTAATTGAATGGGAGTTCCTTTAATCTAGTGGTTTAAAATGTAAATTATATATAATTATTTGAAATGTTAGTTTAAAACAATGTTATTATTTTGGGTAAACTATCTTCGTCTATTCTTCTTGAAATTACTTTAATCACTCAACTACTATTGACTTTCTGTTTTGGTCACCAAATTACTTCTTTTACAAATTCATCACTAACATTACATTTTCATTCCAATCTGATCACCTGCCGTAAAGATTCTTTTAACAGTGACGATGGCACAGCCTGATGTAATAACAGTTTCAATCCCAAGGCTTATACATTCCACCAATTTAATCCTCATTTAAAATAATTCAATAAATTCCATAAAGTTTTAGCCCTTAAACGCATCTTGTCGATAGAAAATTACAAATACAAAACATTTGAGTGAGAAAATGGGTAATTAAAGACTTCAAAAATCAAGAAAACATTGATCCCTTGTGTCTCTGTGTACATATCTTAAAGTTTGCAGAACAGCCATTTGACAAAATGGCAATCATCCTTTAATGGCTAAACCTCACACTTATTACCCAATTTCACCCGGCTCCGAACTCGAGTTTGTCATGTTCTTTGGCAAGAAAAGGCAAAGTTAACATCACGATATCATGATCAATGAAACAAAAGAAGACATCACATAGGGGAAAGTTTCAAGGAAAGAAAAAAGGGTTAAGTTCTTCTATTAGCCCTTGTACTACGTGTAAGTCACAAATTTAGTCCCTATAATTTGATTACTGTTGGTCCTGTACTATTTTCAATTTTAAAATTTCATTGCCGACTCAAATAGAACAAGGACAATGTGACAGTTTTTATGGGTATTTTTTTCAACCACTGAAAAATCGGATTGGAGCTAAAAACCCGGTTTTCTTTTCTTTTTCGAAGTTTTATTCGTAATTAATGAGATTTAAATTTTTAATCTCTTGGTTTAATGTTAAAGACATTGACAGTACATTAAACACATTTTTGTGTTAAATTATTAACCATCTAATAATTTTTACATTTAATAAGTGTTTAAAGCATTTAAACATTAACAAATCAAGGAAGCATCAAACCGTCCAATTCCACCGGTTCGATCGGGGAACCGGAGGTCCAACAAGTTCAACCTCCAGTCCAGTTTTTAACATTTAGATGTTCATTGATTGAACAAAGGCAACAGGACAAGTCTCACTCACATTCTAGCAGATAATGCAAAATGGTTGATTAACATGTAAATAAATATAGCGAGATTTTACCTCAATGGATAGAGATGTCCGAGGATATACGGAGCTGTGCCCCAGCCCCACCGCTCACCACACAGTCACCCTTCCACCAACCTGCACATAATACCTAAAAATGCAGCCAGGCCACAACATGAATGGGGGATTTTATATATGTTTGCTAGTAGAGTACATCAAAAGAATTATGCAACAAAGATTAGGATCGTACCTTGTTTTTGTGTGAATCGATGATAGCAAGAGGAAACTGTCACATGAAAAGAGTATTTGTCAGAAAAGATATCCAGATAAGCAAATGGTGGCATCCAGTTTGGCATGTAATATATAGCTACAAATTGTGAGAATAAACAGAATATGATATGGTACCGCTGTTCTTAGATCCCACAACATAACTTTCCCATCGTAGGATGATGAAAGTAAATGAAAAGATGACCAACTGTGCCACTTGCAATCCGAAATCCAAGAACTATGTGAAGAGAACTGAAACACAGGTGCAGATGTTCCTTCAAAAGTAGATAAGTTTAAAGTGGGATGCAAATTTCAACGGTTGTGTGTCCGTATGTGCAACAATTGACATGAGAAACAACCTAAGAAGAAATAATATTTCCATCCTCTTTGTTTTTATTTTTCAGATGAACAAAAATAGTACATTTAAGCACTAAAATATTGCAAAGACATGATAAAGGTGCATAAAATATACTTCCCATAATATAACTAGAATGCAAGTCCATGCAAATATTTTTTTTTATAGGAATTAAAGGCCTCATTAAAAACCCCTTCTTGATTAATGGATCTTGAGAGGAAGCTCCTTAATCAGAGGAAGGAGGAAAAGAGTGCCTTAGAAATTTTATTAATATTGAAAATTACATAAGATTTAACCATAAATAGATGTAGAGAGGGAGAGATTCATACTATATCAGACAAATCCTTGCCCGTCTCAACATCCCATTTTCTAACTGAGTGATCCCATGATGCAGAATAAATCGTCTCGTGTTGAGGCCAAACCACACAGGAGACGCACTGTGTATGGCCCACAAGTGTAGACACCGCCTCTCCCTGCACAAAACATGAAGGATGTAGAAGAAAGAAGGTGGAAAATTCAAATTTTATATCAGAAAAGAAAACACATATAAATTAATACGTAACATTCTTTAGAATGAAATTGTAGTCATAAAAACTTTGGAGAGGCATCAAAACTAACGATGATGATCAAGACATCCAAATTCTACCATTTCAAGAGTGAGCAAGGACCACACTGGAGATTAAAAAAAAGGTGTTAAACTTATCAATTATCACTGAAAAGTACATGTCCTAGTTTTGCTTGCTCAGAGTTCTGACAAAGCAAGGAAATTGCTCAATGAAGTTCCTCTGCATAAATAAGCTACTAGAAAATCAAAATGGAGAAGGAACTAACGAAAAGGATGGAATACCCGACTGAGATTCTTCAATTTCATTATTCACTTTCCTTTTCTTGATCGACACCATATCCCCATCTATATCAGAGTCATTTGTTCGCCATACATTGATGGTGCAATCCCAAGAACCTGAGCAAATCTATATCAAGTAAAGATACAATGGCAAGAACCCTGATGTTAGAAATTAACATTATCAGAGTATAATAAAGACAAAAAAGCTAGCCTATACCATGTCTCCCGAAGTCTTCGCAGCAACACTGTGCACAGATGCATTATGCCCACGCAATATCGTGAATGCTCTTAGCCTTGCAGGTTGGTCACTAGAGTCCTCTGCATTAAACTTTTACAGGAAAAATTGTATCAATTAGTACTTAATTTTCCACTTCGAAACAAACTCATTTTCCAAAATTACCTTCCAAAGCCTCACAGTTTGATCTTTTGAAGCAGTGGCTACCATAGAACTACCTATCCCTGCATATAGAGAAAGATTTAGGATTAGGCCCAAGAGACGCCACATAAAACTGTGTTTCCTTTCCACCAAAACAGAAAGGATGATACATAGACTAGGCTTGGAGTCATCCATTAATATCAGAAGAAAGCAATAGCATGTATGATACATTTATTACATAAAAATGCTAGATCAATATCGAGAGCTAAAATGTAAAGATGACCACTACTAGCCCTAACCTTCTGACTTGATGATACTAACAGAAGAAACTGCACCACTGTGTCCTTCTAGTATACGTGTACACCATCCCGCTTGTTTCCATACCCTGGAGGAAATTCCATAGAAAAATAAAGACAACACGATTTCTGCCAATTGAACTCCTTGGAATAAGGAGTCCCTAATGCAACAAAAAGAAAAGAACACATAAATTTAAAAGTTAGAATCAGACAAGAAAAAGTCCATTTACCTTCCCAAACCATCATAGCAACCAGTTAAGATGAACCTGCATAACAATGTTTATTACGCAGTGATATGAAATAAGTGTAAAGACGACACATTCCAAGTAATGTAATCTTGCTTAATAAATAAGATCAACACTAATGCTACGGCAAATGCAAAATGAAGCACCTGTGTAATGTTTACATCTTGGATGGCTTACCTAGGACAAGAACCATCCACTGCACTGACCCAATCATCATGCAGACAAGGCTCTTCCTCTTTTCGAGGGGCAGCAGCTCTTATGTATTAAATTTCCAAAACTTTTTCCTGCAATAGTTCATGCAAGAATTTAAGGGTTTGAAAAGGCTAACATAAATCTTCTCAAACTTTATACATCAGCAATTCTTTAGCAGGAATGCCCTCACTGAGAGCATTTCCTGATGAGAAATATGGAAATGCTCGTCCAGTTACATTACTAATTATAAAGCTGACCAATTTTTCTTTAAGAAAATAACGTGAATCGTGACTAAAATACTCTGTTTTGAAAACCGGACCGGACCGGCCGGTTCAACCGGAAACCGTTACTTAGTCCGGTTCAATCTAAACCGGTTGAACCGCTATTAGTGAACCGGCCAGAACCGCTGAACCGTTCGAACCGAACCAGCTGAAAACCGGAAAAAACTGGGAAAAACCGAGAAAAATCGGGATTTTTGTTTTTGCTTTTAAAAAAAAAATTAAACCAAACAACGTCGTTTGTTAAACGAGCCAAGTCGAACTCGAGTATTGCTGAGCTCGACTCGAACTTAAAAACTTTAAAAGTAAGCTCAACTCAACTCAAACTTACAAGCTAAAAATTATCAAGTTCAACTCAAACTCGAAATATAATATTGAAACTTGAACTCAAAAAAAAATTAGAAGCTCGATTGAAGCCTAAAATTCGAGCTTGATTGAAGTGAAAGAATAGTTCACTCAATGCTCACCAAAATGTTCCATGATTTTGAATGCCAAATTAACTCTATTATTTATAGAAGTTAGTTGTGATGCGCTTCTATGTTTCTTAACAATGTGATATTGTTTTGTTCTCATATTTTTACTCTTTAGACTTTTGGGATGCTCTTCTATGTTTCTTAGTCATGTTGGATTGTTTTTTTAAAAAAAAATTAAACCAAACAATATAATTTTGTTATGCTTTTTTTAACCCCAAATTTATTTTTTAATTATAGTTATTTAATTATATTTATTATTTAATATGTTTTACTTTAAATATTATGTTGTAGTTAATTTGAATCATTTTGTTTCACTTGATTTTATGGTTTTTAACTTATATATGTTATGACTTACTTTGAATATGACTTGTGATATAAAAAATTATTTTTTATTAAATATTTTTGGTATTTTTATTTAATTTTTTAAATAATTATGACGTCGTCCGGTTCTTCCGACCGGTTGGATCGATTTGACCGATTGAACCAATGAACTGATAGCATGACCGGTTCGCTAACCGGTCCGGTTCTGAAAACCATGCTAAAATATAGTAATTGCACATTTCTCATTAGATGTTTTCACAGATCCTTTTCAAGCTACTTAAAACTCATACAAAACAAATTGCAAACATCAAAAAGATTAAAAATAGAAAAGTACAGCGGAAGTGCCCTTGGCAAGAAGAAACTCCTCAAGTGGCATCCGAGCAAGCTCTCCATCGATCAGGAAATCAAAGGGCTCCGTTTTCCACTCAGAATTCACTGCTCATAGCCACACAATTTCCAACTTAATTACAGCTATTAGTGAACCGGCCAGAACCGTTATTAGTGAACCGCTATTAGTGAACCGGCCAGAACCGCTGAACCGTTCGAATCGAACCAGCTGAAAACCGGAAAAAACCGGGAAAAACCGAGAAAAACCGGGATTTTTGTTTTTGCTTTTTTTAAAAAAAATTAAACCAAACAACGTCGTTTGTTAAACGAGCCAAGTCGAACTCGAGTATTGCTGAGCTCGACTCGAACTTGAAAACTTTAAAAGTAAGCTCAACTCAACTCAAACTTACAAGCTAAAAATTATCAAGTTTAACTCAAACTCGAAATATAATATTGAAACTTGAACTCAAAAAAAATTAGAAGCTCGATTGAAGCCTAAAATTCGAGCTTGATTGAAGTGAAAGAATAGTTCACTCAATGCTCACCAAAAGGTTTCATGATTTTGAATGCCAAATTAACTCTATTATTTATAGAAGTTAGTTGTGATGCGCTTCTATGTTTCTTAACAATGTGATATTGTTTTGTTCTCATATTTTTACTCTTTAGACTTTTGGGATGCTCTTCTATGTTTCTTAGTCATGTTGGATTGTTTTTTAAAAAAAAAATTAAACCAAACAATATAATTTTGTTATGCTTTTTTTAACCCCAAATTTATTTTTTAAGTATAGTTATTTAATTATATTTATTATTTAATATGTTTTACCTTAAATATTATGTTGTAGTTAATTTGAATCATTTTGTTTCACTTGATTTTATGGTTTTTAACTTATATATGTTATGACTTGCTTTGAATATGACTTGTGATATAAAAAATTATTTTTTATTAAATATTTTTGGTATTTTTATTTAATTTTTTAAATAATTATGACGTCGTCCGGTTCTTCCGACCGGTCAGACCGATTGAACCAGTGAACTGATAGCATGACCGGTTCGCTAACCGGTCCGGTTCTGAAAACCATGCTAAAATATAGTAATTGCACATTTCTCATTAGATGTTTTCACAGATCCTTTTCAAGCTACTTAAAACTCATACAAAACAAATTGCAAACATCAAAAAGATTAAAAATAGAAAAGTACAGCGGAAGTGCCCTTGGCAAGAAGAAACTCCTCAAGTGGCATCAAGCTCTCCATCGATCAGGAAATCAAAGGGCTCCGTTTTCCACTCAGAATTCACTGCTCATAGCCACACATTTTCCAACTTAATTACAGCAAGAAATAATAATTTAACCAGAAAACCGACAACAAATCGAATTTTAAACATCTAAATACATCACCACTTCAACGAGACTACGAATTAAAAATTACCAGGAAAAACTCAAAATTCCTAAAGAAACAACGAAACATTAAATTGTCCAGAAATATGTACATTCGTATTAGCTCGAATAACGAGGTTAGTACATCAAATTACGAAAATCCAAGAAAAACCCAAATCAAATTACAACAAAAATATCCGACCTGAACACAGAAAGCACCCCATATTTATTTCTTAAGAAACAAAAAAAAACATTACCAAATAAAAAAAAAACAACAACAAAAACCGATCAGTGATCCCAATGGTTATATACACAAAAAGGAACGAAAGATTACCAGCTTGAAGAAGCTTGTTAACAATGGAGGAAAGGCCCAAGCGATGGAGGTGCGAAGGGATGGCAATGGCTGTATTGGGAACTTTATAAAGAGCTTTCAACTTGGTTACGAATCTGACTTGGATCCTCCTCGAGTTGCCTTCGTTGGGTTCGCTCACAATCTCCATTTTTGGTAGGGGGTTTGTTTAATTTTAGAGAAAAATGGAACATGCAAACACAGGGTGCTTCAAATAGGGTTAGCGGCGTATATAAAAGACTTTCGGCATAACTATTAATTCAGTCCTTACTTTTTATATCTTTTTTGATTTCCAACTTTATTCCTTTTCTTGAATTAAATTTTATCACCAATCCTTAAAAAAGTCAAATTTTAACTTTTATTTTTGGGTAAATTCCGCATTTAGTACCTAAATAATCAGTTTTGATCCATTTTAGTACCTAAACTTTCAATTTTTCAAAATCATAATTGAAGTTTAGTTTTTGTTTCATTTTAGTACCAGCCGTTAAAAACTTTAGTTTTTGTTTCATTTAGTGATCGTTCAAAATTTAACATTAACTTTTGAAAAAATTGAAAGTTTAGATAAAACGGATCAAAATTGATAGTTTAGGTACTAAGCGAGTTAAGTTTTTAACAACAAGGTACTAAAATGAAATGAAAACTAAACATTAGGTATGCTTTTGAAGAAATAAAAATTTAAGTACTAAAATAAACTAAAATTGATAGTTTAAGTACTAAATGTGTAGTCTATCCTTATTATTTTAATTGAATTTTTCTCACCCATACTTATAATAATCTATATATATTCCATGCAATTTCATGTTATTTTTTAAGCTTTTTTTAATATTTTAATTCTTTTAAAACCGTTAAAATTTAATATTTTAATAACATTTTTATTATAAAACAATTTAGGTTTTCTAAAATTCGAATCTCGAATTTAATTTAAAAACGGTATAGGGCTAATCGAGAAAAATTGAGGGTCAAAATACTCTTCATTCCCGAATTTAAGAGATATTAATTATCTTTTGGATTTAATTAGAATTGATTTGACTCGTAATAACGATTAAGTTAATATTTTAATGTAATCATCGGTGTTTAATTAATTAATTGATTAAATCAATTTAGTTATCATAGATGTTTATCGATCATTTTATTCAATTTATTCTATTTAGGGTAAAGTATATAAATGGTCTCCGATTATAGGGTCTTGTTCTATTAAATCCATCGATTATTAAAAGTTATGAAATGGTCATCAGACTATAGAGTTCTTTATGTTGAGTCCCTCAACTATTGAAAGTTACAAAAATTGTCACCTGACTATTCAATATGTTCAAACTCGTCATTATCTATTTAAAAAATTGGTAATTGTATAAGTTGGATATTAACATGATGATTGTGATGTGACAATCGTTTGAGATTCTAGGATCAGATTTTATCATCATAGTCAACAAGTTAATGTTCAGCTCAGAATACCGTCAATTTTTTAACGAAAAAGGTCGAGTTTGGAATATAATGAATAGTCGAGTAACCATTTTATAACTTTATATAGTTGAGGGACTCAACAAAGCAACACTCTAAAGTTGAAGAACTATTTTGTAACTTTTATAATCGAGAGACTTAATAAGGTAGTACCCTATAGTCAGGGGACTATTCGTATACTTTACCCTTCTATTTAAAATATAAAGATTTGAACTTTTGACATTATTTAACGAATTTAACATTTTATTTCGTTAAACTAACTTATTATCAATAAATAATCGAATATGGATCATAATATTATTTTATTATGATAATTTAGAATGAGAATCACATCCTTTGACTTTGTTCTGTATGTTTCGGTTTCTAATAACATGCAAAATACCCATTTCAAAAAAAATGAGAATCATAATTTAGGAATGAAATTGTAATATTCAAAAGTTTGAGGATCAATTTAGAACAAGAATCATAGTTTGAGGATATGTGATGCAATAACTCTTTTTAAAAATATAATTTATATTATATATCAACAACACGAAAAAGGCTAACTAAGAATAGAGACAGAGATCCGCAATTGGTTTATTACTTGGAAGTCAAGCAACCCTAACGGTGATAGTAAAGCATCCGCCTCCGGTAAATATTTGCAATGGCTCCGAGTCTCAGTGTCATTTGGCTCGAGCGAAATCCGATATCAACTTGGCAACACGGCGAGGCTTATCGACGTGAGTAAGGTGACCGCTGTCCGGCACTCGTTGCATACGTGCGTTCGGAAGTTCGAAAAGCAGCCTCTTCAAGATCGTGATAAGAAATAGATCAGATGTTGTAGAATGGTACGAGGTATGATCCTTAAAATATACAGAAACAAAATAAAAAACGAGGGTGTTCATAACGGAAGCATACACGTATCGAGATAGGACATCGTAAATAATCGTCGAAAATGCCGAAAACTCACCATTGCAAGTTGGTTGCTGACGATCTTATCGTTCTCTCCACAGATGATCAGCGTTTTCTGCTTCACCTACAGAGACAGAATTCAAACAGAACAGAACAACAAAATATCAAACTTTTTTATTTGTATTCTCTTAACTTCAGAGAACCCGATATTATGCCGAGCTGTACCGAACCGCTTGTCATTCGAAAGAGCGACGTTTACGCTCTAAGAACAAATGCTCGAAAACCTTTCATCACGTACCTGCTTTATTTGGGACACTACATTGTAGCCTCCACTAGCCATAAAATTAACAGTTGCATCTTTCCACCAAGGCATGTGGCAATGTAACCGGCCAACCTAGGTTATAATCCGAAACCGAACATCGAGTTTAGCTTTTATACGTAGAAACTTGCTTGCCAAGTAATAAAGGAAGTCCGAGCTTAAAACTTACATTTGTCCAATCTACGCTCTTGGATAATGGAATGCCATCGAAAGCTAATAGATTAGCATAAAGGCGCAAAGGGAATGTTTTTAGTAAAGAAACCTAACCCGTAAGAATTACGACGACGTTAGCGATAAGTTCGTTGCAAGAATAACCGAACAAGCGAAACCGAAACATCGGATTATGTAACAGATACGAAACCTTACCCCGACATAAGCTACTACTTTCGGCAACTTTGCAAGGTTTCCCGTGCCTTCTGCATAAACGCTCGGATTGATTAAAACCAACTTTTCAACCTGAGACATACGGAAAAACATTACTTTTAGCGCAAAAACCGAAAGGTCGAGTACTTGGACCCCAGGAGACCGAGGTTGAAAGGCAAGAGTAAAAGCAAGGGATTCTCGAGCAGGGGATTCTAAATCATTCATATACTCGACTAGGATATTTTAAAGCATATGACTCCAGGGTCGATCCATTTCCGACTGTCTCTCTTCGATTTCAGATGAAGATGGATGTCCCGTATGTCGGTATAAGTTCAAGTTCATATCAGATGATTGGACAAGAACAGCTTATTTGCACCTGATACCAAGTTCTTTCGCATGGATTTTTCTTAGAATTTCCGTTTAATAGAAACCATTTAACATATGCCATCAGCTATGTTACTCGGGCTCGAGTTTAAGTGTCGGATATGAGTATATAAGTGTCGGTATTTCGAGATCCTTGGAAGGTCATATCCCCAGAGCCCATGTTCGATGTGTGTTGGACACGGTAACTTCAAGCAGAAAGTAATTTTCCAAACAAAAAATTAGAATTAATCAACCATGAAGCATAGGGGAGAGACTCACAGCTTCGGGATAATTTACTGCAAAGTCGATCGCGACAGCGGCACCGAGACTCGGCCCAACTAAAACCATTGGCCTTTTGATGTAGGACTTCCAGAGCTAGAGTAGTAATCAGAAACAATATGAATTCAAGGACTAATCTTCATCAACCGATGTAAAAATGCATGTTCTCATCCACACATCTCGAGGCCGAACATCGATTAGTAAACAGTCATGCATGGAATGTTTACGGATCAATGGCGCGAGACAACTGAATGACCAAAGAAGTTAAAAACTTCGAGAATACGAGAATTCCATGTACATACCTGATAAAGATGGCAACGCTTCGATGCTACATTACACGGTGGAAGACTTCCTAGTAAGGGGGGGAAACATAAACATGAATCATAATCAAAGAAGACGGTAAGAAAACAGGCATAAAGACGAGAAGATGAACCTAAGTCAGAGAAACCCCATCCGAGAACATCGAGCGCCCATGCCTCCAAACCAGATTCTTCGAGCAACGGATAAGCACGCCTCCATTCTAAGCAAGAACTAAGGGGCAACAACATACGGAAACAAGCTGAGCGCTGAGCCTTGTGGCTTATAATTACTCGAAAATGAAATCGAACGGCTACTAACCTGTCAAAGCAATGGAGAAGAACAACCGGACTCGGATCGGTTTGTACGAGCGGCTGTACACAACTACTCATTATATAACTTTCGGAACACCCAATCTGCAATTGTAAAAACAACCTTGGCATTAGTTTCAACGTTTCTTTTCAATAACTCGTGTCCGAGTGTCGGAAACGTGTGTATATATATATATCCGACACTCGGACTCGAGTTCTACACCAGACAACATGTGGAAAACACGATAGATCCCTACATAAACCTTGTAATCATCTAATATGAACCAGCATTCAAAGGAAAATAAACCTTAAAAAAATCCCCCATCACATCCACCAGCAAATTCAAAATTGTGACTAACAAAAAAGTGAAAGAGAAAAAAATAAACCTGAACCGGGAGCCTCTTTATTCTCCTAGCTAAATTCCTGGCAAATGGGTCTTTGATTTTCTCAACCTCTTTAGGAAGAAATGGAGGGAACCCATTGTCACCACCTCCGTCGCCGACCACCTTAACGCCGCCGTTGAATCTTTCACACTTCTTTGTGGCTGTGGTTGCTGCTAATGTTGCCGGTGGAAGTGAGCCAAGTCTAAGAGCAGCCATTACCAACAACCCTTTTTTCTCCTTCCTAAAATCACCCTAAAAACAAATATCGATGCCGAGATTTGTTTCAACTTTAAACAAAATCAAAAGCAGAAGCTAAAACTTTTGAAAGAAGAAGTTAAGCAGTGATGCTGTAGAGGGTGGCGAGTAATTAGAGATGACTAAAAACGGAATCCTTTTTGTTTCCTAGTGCCTGTGATTTCATGGCAATAATTTGGCTGCTTACATTTAATGCAATCAACAAACTACACAGTCCCCGATAAACCAGAAAGTCGGATGGCTCTCATGCTATACTACTTAGAGTAGGACGGGAAATGAGAGGCGATTTTACCAAAAAAAAAAAATCATCCTATAAATTAAATATTACCTTTTGCATTTATTGTCCAAATTTTATCGATCTACTATCTTTTCTGACAAAATAACAATAAATTGCATTGTAGGAAACGCATCTTATGAAAGGCGTGTTGGAGGAGGCATAACTTCGTTGGGTCTGTTCGAGCCGATATCACGGTGAAAAAACGTGTTTTAATGGTGTGCCTTTATGAAAAAAAGAGACGTGGAAAAACACATTTCAAGGACACACTTTCTATTTAAATCCCACCTATCCATCCAACAATTCGTCCCCCTTTCCCTATAAATACCTCCCTTATCCATCACGAATCACCTCAAAATCAAATATACTTTCTCATTCTTCTTTCTAAATCAAATTTAAGTAGGTTTTGTCATAGTTTTTATAATGTAAAAATACTTTTTTTATATTTTATTATATTTGCTTAATATTTTATTATTTTATACTATTTTGTTTTATTAATTATTTTTTATTATTTTTTACAGTTGTAAAATAAAAGGCGAGATGTTACGATTAGATGATAATTATATCTCAAGTTATTTTACCGATACGGTAATAATATTAAACTATGTTATTTTTTATTATTGTGAATATTTTATTAATTTAAATTTTTTTAGTATTAGTTTATATTTTTAATTAGAGGAATGATCGTATATTAAATGTATTTATTTGTAATGCTAAATTAGAGATATTGCATCGTGTCTGGACGTATTTAACCAAGGCTGGATTTGGTTTCATAGAAAAATATAAAGGGCACTGTAAACTTGAACCCGCCCTTATTTATATACTAATTGAGAGGTGGAAACCGGAGACATACACATTTCATTTTCTGTGTGGGAGTGCACTATTACGCTACAGGATGTTTCCATGAATTGAGGGCTTTCGATCGAGGGAGATGTTATTTTTGGTGTGGTAGATGGTGATTCAAATTCGTTGTGTCAGGAGTATCTTGGATGTTTCCCGGGTGATTTTAACGGTGGGAGAATATCGTTATCATGGCTGCGAAGTAATTTTAGATAGTTGAGTGAAAACTGTTCAAAGGATGAGGTTAAAGCATTTTCTCTGGCATGCATATTACAACTCTTAGAATGGATCTTGATGCCCGACAAATATCGCAATCAAGTTTATTGTATGTGGTTACATCACCTAATTGATTTTTGAGATACTGGCACATTCAGTTAGGGCTCCGCATTTTTGACATTTCTTTATAGAGAAATGTGTCGAATAACGAATTATTAGAAAAATACTATTGACGGATGTCTCGTTCTTCTCCAATCATGGGCGTGGTATCACAAGCTCTTTTTATGCTTGGTCGTGAATGAGTCATTTATCTTCCCGTTACTATTGAGGTAATTTCAATACTGAGTTCTTAAATAAATAATTTTTTTTAGTATATATTGAAATATTTTTTACATTGCATAGGTGGTAGACTACAAAGAAAAATCATCGTGATATACTAGACGAATTAGAAGAAATTCGGCAACTCATTGATCAAAAGACTGCTACACAGGTACGTATTTAAATTTTAATATTTACCTTTAATTATCATTGTATAATTCGAATATTATTTTGATAAGAAATATATATGTATATATATATATATATGTTTTAGTTCAAATGAGTTTCTTATTATACTAAAGAAATTAGGTTTTGCATCCCATCTCACTTGAGTGACACATTAGATGTATGGATGGCGGTTGTGCCTATGATATTTTATGCTATTGTCGAGTGGCATCCGATTGATCGCATGCTCCGATAATTCAGCTATGTACAATATATTCCTTAAGCACATAGGAATCTCGAAAATGTGCATAACGTCGATAGACTGGACAAAAAGAATGTAAACTAGTTGACGAAGCACAACGAGTGAATAATAATATGGGAGAATCAATGTCGACGCATTCCCCATAGAGAGTCGATTTATGTGGATCATTATTTGGTTATGGTTAACTATTGTCTATGGGTTTTCATGAACATGAAGCCATTTCTATTTTATGAGGAAGCACGAAACGAGAGCATTTATTGACACTGAGAAAAGTGTTCACCGTCACAGCATCATCGTCCCTCGACTCGTAGATGGAGAGCGTGCGCTTCTGGTTGGTCCACAGCTACAGCACTAGAACCATCACAGCACCCACCGTCTACACCGATTTATATTCCTAACTCGCCACTATACATGGGTACACCGCCGATTCAAATGGCACCACATCCGGTTCAAACGCTACCTCAGTTGTTTTAGAAGCCTCCACAACTGGTTCATATGCCACCACCGTAAGGTTTTATGGCACCTCCTGACGGATATTATATTGCCATACTTATAGATCCATAGTGGGCTTCATATGCTGCTTATTTAAAGGGTGTGCTTCACCACAAACATATACACCTCCAGCTCAGTATGTGTCGTAATCGTCGAAATGGCGGTGGATATAGATGTTTTCGTAGTTTTCAGAGTTCTTTATGAGCGGTGGGATGGTTAGTCATACATCTCCAGGTTCTTATTCTATGGAGGTGTTACATCGTCATCCGTCCCTCATCAACAAAATGTAGATGCTACTACTGATGATAATGATGATGAGAGTGACGAGGAAGAGCAAGTTATACAAAGAAACCCTCATAGAAATAGACAGACACCGCCTAGTGAAACACATTCAAAATGCATACATCGATAGACTTGTTTAGTTTTTAATGTTTTTATTTAATTTTCTTTGTTTATCTACAAATGTAATAAATTTTGGACTTTTTATTTATTTTGTTTCTTAATGTTTTTATTATTTATTGTTTAAATTGTAACGTTTTTATTTAATGTTTTATTATTTAGTTTATAATGTTTTTACTTAATGTTTCTATTTAATTTTCGTTTGTATTTATTGTTTCTATTTATTTGGTGATGCTCAAATGACATTAATTGAAAGTAAACGAAAATGAAATAACACAAACTGAGATTTCAAAAACTACAATTATATGGTGATGCTCAACGGTTACTTGATGCTAAAAGAGATATTGTAGCCTAGGTTTCTACAAAGCCCACATCTTTTGTTTTCTTTGGACGTCTCTCGAATATACATATCACAATGAATTCGAATGGATTTTGGATGACCTACCTCTCTTAATAAGGACAGATCTGGTAATATCGTAAGCTAATTCTGAACCCCATCTAGTCTTTCTCATTACCAATTAGGGGGAACTCAAATTTATATACCTTAAATACTTCTAAAAGTTGGTATACGAGATCCACAAAATGGTTATAGTATTGACGGATATAAGAGCAAGCTGCTATGACATGGGAGCATGGATACTTCGGAGCTTGAAAAAGCCCACAGTCACACCACCTGTCTTGTAGACTAACTCTGAACGACTTAGCTTCAATCCCTTGAAGAGGTCGTGGCATTTTTGTGAAATGAAATAATTCATATGTTCGAGAAAAGCTTGTTACAGACATTCCATTTGATGCAACAATTTTTTTGTATATCTGCAAGTAATCTTGGGTGATAGCTGTCCGTTTTACATCCAAGTTAGAGCTTGTCCCCCGAGCTTGGCAAAAAATGCTCTCAAATGAAAATACGTCGTTTTAACCAAAATTGTTACTAGTAAATGACGCCTCCTTTAAGGTCAATTTTATAGCCTCAGTCAATTTGGTTTTTATATGTCCATATCGATAACCACTATAGTATGCATTTATCCACATTTCTTTGTTGATAAGGATGATGTAATTGTATCATTGCTCATTTTTTCCTCGCAAATCTTGAAGCATGGAATCAAACATTTGAGGTAATAGTTTGGAACATGTGCGTCAAATGTAATACTTACTGTTAAGTTCTCATTAAAAATGAAAATGAATTAGAAATGAAATTAGGCATTATGACAACATGTAAGCGTAAGTTTCTGATGAAAAAAAAAACCCAATAATCTGTATCTTCAGCTTCAACAAGGGCAAAAACAACTAGAAGAATGTTGTGATTACCATCTTGGACAATTGTCAATAGTTAAACTTGCTTGTATTTTCTATACAAGAATGTACTATCAATTTGGATCACGAGCTTGCAGTATTTCACATCATTATGCACAGTGGGTAGGTACAAAAAATCTGATAGAATTGGCATCGACCGCGAAGCACTCAGTCATTTTGGTATGCATGACAAGTTTCGAAGTCGACTATTATCCCAGGATTCAGTCTGCGCACTATGTTAAACCAACTTGGTAGTTCGTTGTAAGATGAATCCTACTCATCATTAAGTTTTAATGACATTTTTCTTTACCTTCCATGATTTCCTATAGGAGATGGTGTACCCATATTGATATTGTATAGTTGAAATCAGCAGAGCAATAGCTATATGAGAGCTTACTTTGATGATGGGCATGATGGTTTGGCAAATAATATCAAAGTCGAAGTTAGGATAGTCTTGGTTGATCCCTCTAACACAATATGTATGAGGATAGTTGTATACTGTTAGTTCTCATATGTTGTTTTTTCTCTTATTCTTTGATACACGAACCATCCAGTTGCATTCGTTATCACGTTAGACACAATGGCAAACATATTTTTCAGTCGTGGATTGGTCAATTCTGGAGTGAACAAAATTACAAATGTTGTAATTCTTAATTGAAATAATTGCTTCTTCTTTTGATGAAAACTCCATTTTGATATATAACTCACCATCATTGACTAATTAGTTAAATCAGTAGTCACCAACATTAGGCCTATTCGTAAATTATGGCCCATACATTACATTATAGTTAGCTTCATACATGTGTGTTGGAGGTTCAATGTGTATCGTATTTATGGGAACTTCATCTACATCATCATCATTGGAGTCTATGTTGAATTGAGGTGATTTAGGTTCAACAAATAGTCCAGTCTCAGCATCATCCGCACCTGGATCACGAAGAGGTTCTTCTTGTAGACATGAAGGTTCCTCTGTGATGCCAGTATTTAGGTCGAATAGGATGGTAGTTGAATGCATTCCCCTTAAACTTGCAGGATCATTTCATACATGTTTTGAAATGAGTATTATGTCGCAAACGTCTCCACATTGAGGTTGAATAAGCTCGTAGTTGAATTACCCTTGGAATTTGAAGGCATCGTGTCAAATGGATATTGAATAGATTATTGTGTCGAGGGAATCTCCATATTTAGGTCAAAAAAATTGGCAAATGAATGATTTCTGCTTGAACTGGAAGCGATGTTGCCATACTGATTGTTCGTTAAGCCACCTCAGTAGAGATCGTAATAAGTTGCTGATGAATGTCTCCCCATTGAACTTGATGGATTGGTACCTGGATGCGAATTTATCATTAACGAGGTAAAATCATTACATATTACTTGAGTTGAGTTGTCAGTTTGATCAGCTTTTTGAGCTAGGCCATAGTGAGAGCATAATGACATACCACGAACCGCAGACACTTCAACAAATCTGGCATACATTTGTGTATCAGCATCTGAATTTTGATTTTGAGCATCAACCATCATAACAACATCGTTATTGTTGGAGAGTACGAACGATGTATAAGTTAACGGAAATAGTGCAGTTGAAAATCTGTACTGAAGTGAGGACAATCTTCTAGTACTCCCAACATGAACCTTCCTTGAAATTTTAGTGATCAGCTCATCAAGAATGATGTTTCTCTTGAAGGATAAGGTGATATAATGATTTGATACGGAGACAACGTCGGTTTCATCTTCTCAAATTTCTCCGTCATAGTAAACAATATCTGACATACGCCTCATTTTGAGAGTTTGGGATTGAGAGTTAGACGGTTTGAGAGATGTAGTAGATGAAATTTTAAATGTTGAGTCTTATATATGCAAAAGGAATAAATGTTCTAATATATAATCATTTCTGTAAATAAATAAATAGTATACGAATTAAAATAAAAACTAATACTAAAAAATTAAAAATATTCACAATAATTTAAATAACACAATTTAATATTATTACTGTATCGATAAAATATCTCGAGTTATGATCCCCATCCAATTGTAACATCTCACATTTTATTTTACAGACGTAAAAAGTGATAAAAAATAATTAGTATAATAAAATTTGGTAAAATAATTAAATATTAGATAAATATAATATAATAAAAAAATATTTTACCTTCTAAAAACTATAATAAAACATATTTAGCTTGATAGAAGGAAAAATGTGAAAGTAATTTTGGTGTGGTTTGATAGTTGAATTCAGGGGTATTTATAGGGGATGTGAATGGGTGGTTGGTCGGATTTTTGGGTAACAATTGAATGGGGAATAATGTAAGGCGTGCCTCTGTATCGCGCCTTCCATGTGTGTTAGAATTTCCCCACGAAAGAGAGCCTCATGTGCACGAAGCCGCATCTCTGGGAACGTGCCTTCCTACCGTGGCGTCAGTTCGGACAAAACCCATCGAAGGCGCATCCCTTGCAAAGCGTCTTATTAGAATGGACACTAGATCGGTAAAATTTGGTGAACGGGTGCCTGATAGGTAATTTTTTATTATTTGGGTGATTTTTCGGTAAAAACGCCTAAATGAGACAAGACTTATTCGTGAGTTACTCTAGGTCGATTCAGTTAATGTTCGATAAATACATGACTCCAATGAATTTGGATAAAGCTTGATTCGAGTTGTTAACTAGTCGAAATTAATTACTCATACTCGATTCGAAAAACTCACTAACAACTGAATTAAGTTCAAGATTTTTTTCTCTATTTCCAGTTTCGACGAGCTTTTTCAACCTTTAATTCATGATTTCAAGTTCGAGTCGAACTTTAAAATTTTAAACTCGCGAGTTTTCAAACCGAGTTGAACTCCATTAACTGGAAAAATTAGACTTATATTTGGTTTTTCAATAAATGTTAAAGGAAAATTAGACAAACATGACACGAACAAAGCGACCTTAGCAGTTAAATCAATCCTTAAAGATTCTTGGTTCAAATACTAGTGTTTACGACTTGTCTGATTTTTAATAGTTTTGAATTGAAAAAAAATTAAACTTGGAATTGTATGCAATCATCGATAGATATGATAATTTTATTCGAATCCCACAATTTTGATTTGATTTTATTTATTAGGGTCATTTTTATATAAAAAAGAGAGTCGAGGTTGATTCGTCGGATTTTGTATAGAATTTGATCGGATTGAGTGTGAGTTTATAATGAATTTTTTTTTGATGATGGTGTGATTATATATAAAGATAATTACTATATAATTTTGTTTAGATCTCTACTTTATTAAAATCAAAAATATTTTTATATTCATATATGATCAAATCGGATTAGATAATAAATTTGACCTCAAAATCAAATCTGATCAAATGCATATTTTTAATCTAAAATTTAGTTCGAACTTTGAGTTAAATGAGATATTTTTAAACTCGAATTGAATCAAATTTATATAATTTTTTTTTAAAAATTAAATTAAATTGATCGAAAACCAGACTTGAAAATAACTATTAAATGGCCCTCTTAGTGTGTTATGTGGTGAAACTTACCGTTAGACCACTCACATGGGATAATAACTATCCAATGCATTGATTTTTAAAGTTTCAACTCTCGTTTATTAACTTTTAGGGTAAATTACACATTTAGCCCTTAACTATCAGTTTTGATTCGTTTTACCTAAACTTTTAAAATTTTCAAAACCATACATAAAGTTTAGTTTTTTATTTCATTTTAGTACCCCATTCAAAATCTAACGTTAAGTTTTGAAAAAAATTGAAAGTTTATATACTAAAACGGACTAAAATTAATAATTTAGGTACTAAACGCATAAAATTTTTAACGGGCGAGTACTAAAATAAACTAAAATTAGGTATAATTTTGAAAAAAATTAAAAGTTTAAAATGTACTTCTAAATAAAACGAAATTTAAAATGTACTTCTAAATATCTAACCTTTTAAAAATAAATATAAAAACAAAAATAATTAAATTACAGTAAAATAAAATTCAATTTAAAGCTATTCAAACTAAATTTGGTCATAAATTAATTCCTTACCTTAAAAAATAGGACCACGGTCCTGCCCCTACATGTTTTACTTCAAATCACATGTCATAAATTAATTCCTTGTCCTATTTTAGTCAAGAAAATATTAAAAAATATAGGCACGAGACTCGAATCTGTAAAATTCCTATCCATATTGGATTGGTCTTTTTTTTAAAAAAAAAATTGGGTCCGGGTTGGTTCAGGTTCTTTTAGAGGTTATCTAGGATAAGGTAGGGTTCGACTTTAGGGTGAAAATACCTACCTTGACTGGCCCAAAAAAAATTATAATTATATCTTATATATTTAAGGATACTTGCAATAATAGTCATCTACAAATTACTTTTTAATTAAATTCTTATTTTTATTGAATAAAAGTAATATTTAGGTTCGGGTCGGGTCAGGTTCTTTTAGAGGTTATTTCAGATCGGGTCGAGTCCGGCTTTAGGGTGAAAATACCAACCTCGATTGACCTGAAAAAAATTATAATTTCACTTTATATATTTAGGGATAATTATAATAATAATTATCTAGAAATTACTTTTTAATTCAATTATTATATTTATTGAATAAAATTAATATTTTTAAATAAATATATTATTTCGAGTATGGTCAGGTCGGATTCTAATTTTATCTCGAAAAGACGGGTCGGGTGGAATGTATATATTTTTCGGGTCAGATGGAGTGTGTATAATTTTTAAGTAGGATTGATATACCAAAAACCTATATATACATATAAAACATTGATATAAAAAAATTACATCGCTTAAATCTTATATTATATTAGTGTTCGTGATTGATCGCTTATTGTCAAATATTTAAGAGTATTTATAACATATATTATATAATCATCATAGTTTAATCAATTTTTTTATTCTAACATATACATTTATACTTGGAAATGTTAATATAATCGAATAAGTACTTGAAAGTTTTAAAAACAATTATTATATTAATCTAATATCATATAAAAAAATATTTCGATGCCACTAAAAAATAGCTATGCACTTTATATGAGTTTACGATCATATTTAAGTTGGAACATTACACACATCTACTTCAAAGTATTATTTGGTCCTAAATTGAAAAAAAAAATATTATTTTGGTCATCAATGTCTACCTAAAACAAAAGTGTCGTGGAACCATTTCTATACTTATGGTGCATTTGGTTAACGGAATATAAGATTACCAGTGGAAATAAAAGATTAACAGGGAATATGATTACTGAGAATGTTGTATTTTGTGTTTGGTTGATTTAGCAGGAATGTAAGATTACTGTGTTTGGTTAAAGGAATAAAAGATTATTGGAATGTATATTTGACCAAATTGTCCTTATTATATATTTGTTTTTTTAACAAGTTGGAAAATATTTATATATTTTCTTAAAAAAAATTAAATTCATAAAATTTATATAATTTTTTTAAAAATTGAAAATATAAAAAGGTTTAATGAAAGGGTAATATTTTATTTTAACCCCTGAACTTCATATAAAATTTTAATTATAGATTTTTTTTTGTAAATCTAAAATAGTTTAAGGATAAATTTGTAATTTAACCTTCGTAGAATTTTTATTATTCAATAACAGAATAAGGATATTTTTGTAAGAAATTTTTTTAAGAACATTTTAGTCCAAAATGCTGGTAATCCAACAATACCTAAGGAAAGGGAGGTAATGACATTCCCGATAATATATCCCCAAAAATTCACTATTGGTAATGTAAGATTACCGAGAATGACATTCTCGGCCAACCAAACGGGGGAATGTGGATTCCATTACCATGGGAATCTCACATTCCCCCAACCAAACACACCCTTAGGTTGCATTTGGCTCACGGAATATAAGATTACCAGTGGAAATAAAAGATTAACAGGGAATAGGATTACTGAGAATGTTGTATTTTGTGTTTGGTTGATTTAGCAGGAATGTAAGATTACTGTGTTTGGTTAAAGGAATAAAAGATTATTGGAATGTATATTTGACCAAATTGTCCTTATTATATATTTGTTT